ACACACACACACACACACACACACACACACACACACACACACACACACACACACACACACACACACACATACATCAAATAAATCCCACCTCGGATATTCAGCCCATATTTCCTGTATCGTCACAGGGGGATCCTCGTAGCTTTTACATATTTTGCCCGTTATATTTCTGACTTGTTTAATCCAAACAGACTGTCTGTACCCTCATCTCAATAGCAGCAGTCCCTTGTGTCCCTGACCCACTTGGAAAATTGTTGTATTGTCTTGCATTTCCAGTGACTGGTAAAACTGAAGGAGATTGATATAGGAGCTTGTCACAGATTTCCAAGGCCAAGCACTCTGGCTGATCTTTCTCCCTGACTAAAGTTGTTACCTCTGTGGTAGGGAGGAGATGGAAGACGACAGAGGCAGGTTTGAATACGAATGTGATTAGTTGACTAATAGTAAACCAAAATGTGCATAATTATAGAGGTCACATGTGATACTAAGTATAAGCTTTGATAACAAGGAAGTAAGTTAATGCCAGAATTACAGATGATTGTCAGATATCATATTAGATCACCACTGATGACCTGTGTTGTGCATGGGTTAAACTTACCTCCTGGCTGATATGAACAGGCTGTAGACTGGTGACACTGAGCTGGGTCCCTGGCTCAGTCTTGGCTATCTGAGAGGTGGCCTGCACCACAGACCTCTGCCGAGATAAAAACACAATTTAGTTTTAAGAGTCAAGGAAACATTCATTTCATGTTGTGTTAGGTGTGTGTGAGTGTATTTTACCTGTTGAGCCGTCTGCACCTGTTGAACAACCTGTGTGGGAACACCTGTCTGCACCACAGCTGGAGGAGGACTAGAGTCCGACAAACTGTCACTTGAGTGGAGGGAGCCCTCTGAAGGACATGGAGCAAATGTAAGGACCTTCAGAAGCTGAGCACATGATTATTTTTGCTTCCATCAATGGATGATAGCAAATGGATAAATAATTTAACATTTTCAGGCTGATAAAGTTAGAAAGTTATAGTTGAAACAACACAGAACAAGGAATAATGTATTGAGGCAACTTAAGTGTTTATTTGAAAATGTCTATGGTCTACTATTCTAGTATGTGATGCGGTTTACCTGTGACTGTTACAACGATGTACTGAGGAGTGCTTTGAGCATTTCCAGTCTGTGAAGGGGAGCCCTGGATTTCTGCAGTCACATACTGAGTCTGAGCTGACTGGACCTGTGCTGTGGGCTGAGCTTGACTAACAGCTGCAGGCTTCTGAGTGGCGATGGAAGTTGCCTGCTCACTGGGAGCAGTTTGGCCTGTGGCTGTGACAACAGTGGGAGTAGTCGCAGCAGTTTGAATCTCAGCCAGAAACTGAGGGGCAGCTGCAGTGGTGGAGCTGGCATCGGGTTGCCCAGGAGTGACGGTGACACCAGCCGCCTGGGACTGGGCTGCCGGCTGGATCTCACCTACGTAGCCTGCGGTGGCCATTACAAGAGCTGGGAATCACCCTAGGAAAAAGAAACAAGTGACAACTTCATACAAATATCGGAGATGCTTAATATACAATTGTTTGTTACTGGTCACTTCCTGGTCACAGTAGGTTATGCTTATATTGGTGTTTGAACCAGGAACCAGGATTTTTTGGGTTAAATTCTCAGATAATTATGTGTGAATCTCGATGAATAAAATTCAGACATATTTAGGGAGTTGGTATCGATAAGTCATTATATTTACAGTGGTGCCGATCCAAATGAAATTGCAGATCTAGTGGATTTACATGAGGTTTCATCAGGGAATTGTTAATACATTGCAGAGGTATGCCCTTGACTGGGTGACAGTCAAGTTCTATTTGGTTAGAACAGCATAAATAATGCTTGATCTTAAAAGCTGTATAATCATACTGGTAGAAACTGACAAGGCATAGAGGGTAAGAGGGGTAAAATATTCAATTTTTGGACAATGAAGCTGAATAAAAATGTAACTCATCACAGCTTGCAGTAAAATTTACTTTCAGAAAGATGTAACTAGTAGTACAGAGTTATTCGATAATATTTTATGAGTATGGACTCAAAAGTTATAAAATTGCATGAGCAAAAGTTGGACATGAGGCAAGTGATGAATGATGTGGGTTATCTTTAAGGTCCAGTGTGTAAGATTTAGGTGAAAGAAAATTATTGGCAGAAATTTAATGTAGAATAATTTTCATGATGATTTCACTAGTTCATTTCATCTAAATTGTATGAATTGTAGTTTTCTTTACCCCAGAAAAGGCCCTTTATATTTAAAGACTTTATATTTACAATCGAGGGGACCCTCTCTACAGAGGCAGTCATGTTTTTTACATTAGTCCAGACTGGACAAACTAAACACCTTTTGAGTTTTTATGACAATTAAAGTCTACCACAGTTAGTTTTTCATGTTTGGGAGGAGAGAGTGAGGTGAGGGGTGTTCAGCTGCAACATGCAATTTCAACACTAGATATCACTAAATTCTACACACTGTACCTTTAAAGTTTAAGTGGAAAATAATTATCAATTCAGATGCAACACTCTGTGTTCAACAATTCACGTCTGTGAGACATTAGGAATATTTTTACTTTGTCGTTTGTTGCCTTGATGAATAAGTTGAGAGGACTTTTTTCTGAAAGTACAGTTAAACTGATGATGGTGTGGCTAACGTGTGGGGGAGGAGCACTGACGGGAACAAGCATTTTAGTGTCTCATTACTTGAAATGTGATCATGCAAAACCTGTGGCCTGCCTCTCTCTCTCTCTTACACACACACACACACACAGCTATGACAGTGGGACATACAAATCCAAATGAGAAAACCCCCTCACCACTTTGCATTGATTTGGCGGTGTTATATATTGCAGTGCTTCTTGTCAGGCACAATAACATAAGATAACACATACTTACAATGTATTGCACAATCTTTACCCTGGTTTTTCCTATTTTTAAATTTCTTATATTTATGCTTGCACAAAGACACCACAGCAAATTCCCTGTGTGTGTAAACCTGCTAGGCGATAAAACCCAATTCTGATGCTGATGCACCTTGATATTACATTTTGTGCAGGGACTGGATGAAATGGTTTGTTATGACCCGTGCCTTCTAAACCAAAGGTGGATTTTTCGTTGTATAGAAAATGAAGTTGCTCACATGACAAAGCTGTGACATGCTGAATAAAAAGCACCTGCAGAACATCCTCAGTCGCCCCAGCTCTTGTGTATTCATGTCCGCCCCCAGCTTTCTCGACTTCCCATTACGTGGAGAAAGACATTTTCACTGATTACTCCGTGTCTGTCATTTAACCTGTCTGAGCAGTGACACTTTAAACTTGACTGACCCAAACTGGCCTCCCTTCAGTGTGCTTGACGTTGTGCACCGAGTGATTTGATTTTGAATTAACCACTGGAAAAAAGACAGAAACGTGTTGAACCGACACCGACTACACGTTAAATGCCGTTAGCGACACACGCGTCCATTATTTGTAACTCGCTCCGTCAACCGTGAGCTACACGCGTGTCTGTCGTGACAACACTGGCGCTAGCTATCCAGCAAGCTAGCTGGTCTCTACAACAACCGCCATTTTGTACCTTTTGCATTTGACATCGCCATAACAACGGCCTGCTTGAGTATGCATCTGCGGCCGCGTCGTCATGGCAGACACAATCCGCTGTCACCCGAATGAGGAGCGAGCACAAACGACCCCATTCAAGGAAAATGACCCCGAGAGATTATATCGATACCACGGCTAGCTTGCAGGCTAACCTCGGCTAACACTGGGAGGCAGATGCCTGTTATGGCTACTGGAACAACAAGGGGGGGAAAAGCAATAGCCCGATTCAGCTGAATCATTAACGGATATAAAAAAGATATTCCCTGCATGTTAAGAGCTTCACCTCTGGTTCCACGTGTGTGTTTCCCACCGGTAAAATGTCTTCTTTTATTTTTATGGCGATTCAGTTGTTGTTGTTGTTGATTCTCGTTGCTGGGTTCTTGTCGCCAGGGCTACCGTGGCTATGGCGCTTCGTCCTCACCAGGGCAACTGTTGCTACCCACCCTCTCCCTTCCCTCCCCCGTCCTTGCTCTGATTGGCTGAAGGAGACCAAATTGTCTTAAAGCCACAGGGACAGATTTTTTTTCCCCCACTACAAAGCACTCCACGCCCATTTGTGGAAAATTCCTGTCTGTCATGGAAACAAGATTATTACAACCTTGGCGGATGTAATTCATTTATACGTTTATTTCATTCATCGACCAAACTATACCATTTAAAGGTTCAGTGTGTAGAATTTAGTGACATCTAGTGGTGGAGTTGCATGTTGCAGCTGAATGCCCCTCATCTCACCCTCCTCTTCCAAACATGAACGTGAACCTGTGGTAGCTTCTGTTGTCATAAAAAACTCAAGAGGTGTAGTTTGTCCAGTCTGGGCTACTGTAAAAAACATGGCGACCTCCATAGAGACGACCCACTCCAGATGTTGATATAAGATATTTAAATATAAAGCTCCACCTAAGATTAAGAAAACAACAATTTGCACAATCGAGATGAAACACACTAGTGAAAATATAGGATTATTTTCTGTTCCCTCTTTTAGTTCCTAAATTACAATTTGTGTTATATCCTTATCCCAGTGAAAGTGATGAATCTGCTGTTTATTCATTGTCTTTAAACACTATCTAAAGGTGAGCAACAGCATAACTACATGCACTTTCTGTTTGCTATTGGAGAAACATCTATCTGGTTTAAATTCAAACACTTGGTCCCGCTGAAATAAGGAATCATCGTTCAGAGTTATTCTGGTGACAAAGTGTCTGACAGAGTGCGTCCACCTCCAGTGCCATATGTATTATTGGTTAAGACTGATCTGATCTCATTACAAATGCATTTCTGCTCATTTCTGCATAACTGCTGTCAAAAGTGTACCTGAACGGGTATACAGATGCAAAACTTCTGAAAGCAATTATTTGAAATTATTATTAGTAGTGGTAGTGGTAATAATTACTTATTTTCCCAAAGTTGACAGAGAATGTAGTTTGAAAATGTGCCGGTTTGTGTCCATTGTTCATTAAAAAATAGCCCCTAGCATTTTGATATTGCTCTCATGACCACCACAGGTCACTTCTGTGACACTGTGTTAATGAGTGTCAGGGTGAAACCCCTTCCTAAAATGCCATTTTGTTTGCATGTTATCGTCACATTAATTACAAATTCATCATCCCCATTGTAATATTCCAAATGGGCGACCTTTGGCTATCGATACTCAGATAAAAATGTGTTTTATTTTAGTCTGACTCATAATAAGACTTCTATGTTATCTGGCTTTGAAAATGTCACTGGTTGTATCTCAGTTCACCTTTGGAATAGCAATTTTCAAGAGAAAAAAAATGATACATGTGGAAGTTATACCGGGTCATGTGTAGAATAAAATGGCAACGCTTATATAAAGAATTATGATTACTATTACAATGCCTTCAATATATTCCCTCAGTGGTGTCTGTTAGTGTTAAATCTTATCAAGGGAATTCATGGAACATGCTTAATTAGGCCTAAAAGGGGTATTGAAGATTCTTGAGCTATTTATTGTGCCAGTGTTTATTCATAAAAATGTTTTCACACTTTGTTTGACTACTTAGCTTGTAAAGACCATGCATCTTACACAACAATCTTTGGTTAGAGTGTGTGAAATATACGGAGAGAGAGAAGTGTAATTGGTCAGTGTGCTAAATGTTTAATGCATAATCACCACATGACCCAAAGTTTTACTTATTAAATGTAAGTTGGATCTGATGAAGTCATTATATTATTATTCGACACCAAAGGTGCAAAAAGTGCTTCACATGAAAACACTGAAACACTATTAGATTTAGAGGCCTCTGATATATTTGTTAATTATGCCACCTTTGGTCTGCTTTTTGTCTCCATAAAGGTCACTGACTGTATCTGTTTTTCTAATCTGTTCTTCTCACGGAGAAGGCCTGCGAGTGCGTACGCAGAATGTATGTCTCCCGTTCAGGGCTCCAAACCCCTTTATAAACCACGCCTGGGTCACCTAGAAAGGCACATCTCTTTCAAACAGGGAGGCAGAAAGCTAACTGCTGCTCAAAGCAAATAATTTACCACCATTGTAACCATATCTCGCTTGCTTAAATTTCCTTGGGACACTATGTGGAAAGCTGTGGCACTCGCTGTGTGTCTGCTGGTGGCTGGAGTTCAGCCCATGGAGGACCCAGCATATGGGGTGAAGCTCTGTGGTCGTGAGTTCATCCGGGCAGTCATCTTTACTTGTGGGGGTTCACGATGGAAGCGGTCACTCAGGAGCACAGGTGAGAATTGAAGGTGCCACATCTTCACCACCTTGTCATGTCTCATATTTGCAGCTGATAGTCTCAATTTCCAATATCATGATAATTAATGATTACTTTAGATCAGTGTGGATTAACTGTTTGTCCACAATGAAATAATAATTGTGTGAAATTGTGCAGAAAAGACAAGTGCCAATGATGACTTCAATAGAGGGTGAAGGAAATTTCAAATTCGGAATTACAGAGAACAGTTACATTACATTATGCAAAATGTAGACTAGGCTGAAATCAGATAGCTATATTTGTCTTTTACAAGGTCATCAGATGTGACTTGTGACCTGTGTACTGCTAAAACAACCCCTAAATATTCTTTCCACCTCTGCCGCAGATGACTCAGAGGACCCGTTTAGCTCCCTTCAGGATGAGTCCTTTGAAGGCTTGAGTCCCAACTCACTGGAGAGTCTTCTGCAAAGGAACAGAGATCTAAGAGTCACACCTAGAGACAGCCAGGAAGGAGTGTTCAGCAGGACGGCACGCTCTTTCATCACTGAGGAGATCCTGGAGGCCCTGCGCAAGGCTGACCGCAAGGGCCGCGATGTGGTGGTGGGTCTGTCCAATGCCTGCTGCAAGTGGGGCTGCAGCAAGAGTGAGATCAGCTCCCTATGCTGAGAGTTGATCTTCCCCATCTGAGTTAAATCACAGCGTAGCACATTGTATATATTAATATACAAACAGATACATAAATACACACACTCATCCTTTTTTTAATGCACGTGAATTCTATAGCATTTATATTATTTTATAGCCAGTGTCTTTCAGTAAAACCATTATATGAGCTGTAAAATATGGTTCATTTTTAGTATCTGAACGGAAAGGGCTGTCGTGTTAAAAAATGCTTTTCGGGCTTTGTGATAAACAGCCTGATGTATTCATTTTTTAATTAATTCAACTGAATTTATTGCATTACTTTCTGAATTGTGCACCGGAGAACTCAAGGGAATAAAATTCTTTGTTAGGATCATTTGACCACAGCAAAATAGAATGTCACTAGTGTCAAATAATGTCTTATTTGTAGATTGTAAGCAGAATGTTTGTATTTTACATTTGTTTTTTGAGCGACCCATAATAAAAAAAATATAAATTATTATTATGTTGTCATTCTCTTGTCACTTTGCCCTTAAATTGTCCTGTGCTTTCATATTTTACATTTGGTAAATCCCAGGGAGAGAAAGATTGTCTGACAGAGGTATTGAGATCTGAAGTCAAAGTTTCGCAATTAAAATCCAACTTGAATAAAAACAAACAAATAAAAACAAACTGCAGTACCCAAAGTAAAGGTTCTTTATGTGCATATACAACAATGTGTCATAACTTATACAACAGATACTATTATACATAGATATAATGTAGGAAAACCAAACAAAACAAGTGTTCACTCCTTCTTGATGGAGTAATAAGTATGTGTGTGTGTGTGTGTGTGTGTGTGTGTGCAAAACAACATAAAACGTCAGCGTACTGCTCTTGTGGTTTCGACGTGACGCAGAAGCATAAACTAGGCTTTGTGTCCGTAAGCGCTGGCATGTTTTTAGCCTAAATGGGCGCGTACACACACTGCACAAGCGCGTGCCTCTACGCTCTCGCCCAAGGGGCAAGTGACGCTATCAGCGACACTCAGCAGTGACAGCAGATATGAAGCGATGCTGCCGTGCACCCTTGAATAGGGTTAGGGGTAGAAACATATGAATGTAATTAAACTAGTGTATACAGTGTCAAGACTGGAACACATATATGTAGTTTGAGGATATTTACAGTGAATGAATTGCACATGAGCGTTTATATCGCACAGACAGAGGAATATTGCACAGGTCAGACTTAAAAATGTGTGTGCAGCATAATGGTGCCCCTCCGTCAGTATAGTGGTGAGTAGATGACGAGCGGATTTTCATTTTTGGGGGGAAACTATCCCTCTAAGGGGTCAGACATGGAAGTTAGTGCAGAGTCCTCAGAAGGCAAGCTGCGCGAACTTGTGTGTGTGTACGCGTGTTGCGGGATCCCACGTGACAGGTAATGGGTGGGGCTTTTGGCACACCGGATACTTTGGCCTGACTTCAAAACAAGCTACAGGGATACAGGATGAACCCGAGGCAGCGCAGTGCATCTCCTAACGAGGTAAATGCTCCACAGCTCACACCAGTTAGCTCCGACCACAGAGCAACAACCAGGAGCTCCTTTCAGTTTGAGAAAGAGCTTTAATCAGGAACCAGCGGTGGAAGCTTCCGCCGTCACGCGGGCTGTTTACTGGGACCACAGTTATGTCGCATTCACAGTCTAGTGGAAGTTTTGCTCCCAGAGTTTGAATGTGACTCAGTCTGTGTGTGTGTGTGTGTGTGTGTGTGTGTGTGTGTGTGTGTGTGTGTGTGTGTAACAAACTGAAGCTGTGTATGAAATCCACATTGTGTGTGTTTTCACAGACGCCACAGGTCTGGATCCAAATGTGATGGCCATTCTCAGGGGGAGGTGGGTTCTGTCCATCCTGCTGGTCCATGTACAGACTCCTTTAGCTGCAACAGGTAGACTTTACCGAGGATGAACGTGTGTGCGTGTGTGCGTGTGCGTGTGCAGAGAGAAATATTACCATTTATCCTGTTTGTCCTCTACAAATGTTTTATGCTTCTTACTTTTGTTTTTATCTCTTTCTCTGAAAGTCTATTTAAAGTGTGACACAAATGAAACGTTTTATTATTATTACTTTGCTCAGTAAGCTAACATACTAGTTAGTAACTAGTTCAATAATGGTGCCCACAAGTCAATTGTAATCTTCCTATATAGTTTGTTTTTTGATTTCACAAAAAGCTGGACAATATAGCAATATTGAAATTAAGGCAATATCTTTTTCATCAATAGCAATATAAGAAATCTCTAATATATATTATATAATGCTCATGCATAGTGTAAGCACCATGAGGAGGTATAAGCCTCAGATCATTGATGTACCTACGATTTGTCAAATGTTTTGCTCTTTAACAAGTGGATGTCATTCTCTGCCTGCAAGGTAGAGATTAAAACAACAGCCTTTACTCAAGAGCGACAATATTAGTTTAAAACCTAAAGGAAAATTAGAATATGACATTTTTCATTGTTGAATTTTTGATATTGACTGATGTGTCTTTTTTTATTCTTGTTTAATTTTTAGACCAGCCCTAATTTGATACTACATAAATACAAAATACACAAGTTAAATTATGAAAGTAAGCCATAAATCATTACTGGGCTCTACCACACGAAACTAGTAGGCTAACTGTTTATATGAAAACTACAAACTGAAATATTGGAAATAAATTAGGATAATGTTACAGTTGAAAAACAAATCAGAGAGAAGAATAAATGCCATTTTTACAGTATGAATAAGAAATTCTGAGGGAGCTCATTATTATTTAAATCACATGTTTGAATAGCAGAGCATTTCTCTGTCTCTTTTTGTACATGAACATTGACACTGTGGAATCCATTAAATGTGCATTTTCATTCCACAAGTTAACTCCATGGTATACCTGCACTAATAAACAACTCTCCAGTAACATAAACTTCAGATGTTCTATGACGTTCTATGTGGACACAAAGGATGGTTGTGTTTCAAAGCACTGTGGTGAGTGTTTTATGTGCAGGACGTGTTCTCTGCATACGCTGAGGCCATTACACCAAGAAAAACGTATTTTTGATAAAGAATGCCACAATATGCAGGTCACACTCCTGCTGTGCTATCTTATTTGTAGACTGACACTGTGTGATTTTAACAACATTGTTGACACAGAAGAGGAAGTGGTGATACAACAGTGCTGTGCAGTCATTTGAAACCTGAAATAAGTGTTCAGTTCCTGTTAATGCCTGCGACCATGTGCTTCGCTGCAACGCGTTGCATGCAGGTATTGAGCACCACAGGAAGTCTACAGGCTTATGAGAAATGGGTGAAGGTGATGGTCTTGTGACTTAAAAGTATGTGGGCTTCAAGGAATGTGGTTACTTCTATCTGTTGCTTTTTAGCTCTTTTTTTTTTCATTCTTTGCTATTACATAAATTAATCTCCAGAAAAATATACAGTGCATTTGCTCAAATAAAACTGTTGAAGACAAATTGGCCTAAAATATTTTATTTGGTTTAGAGAGATTTTGCATGTTGCTGTTTGTTAAGGTCCTTTAGTTTCACCAGTGTTTCATCTTAGACTTTATGTTATTTTTTATGGCTCTTAATACCCAGGAAGTGTCAGTGTCTTTGCTTGCAGTAACAAATGTGTTTTCTAGATTTGAACATTTTAGTATGCCACTGCCCAAGACCTCACTGCTTTTTGTTCTACTATGTGAGCCAGTGGATGGTTTGTACAATAGGAAATAAAAACCTCTTCAACAAAGTGAAGTATACTAGTTACACCCACCTGAAACAAACAGAGTCTAAAGCAACAATCTATAAATCCTAATGTTGTGAAATTATAATGCTCAGTCTTTGATGAAACGGCTTTTGTTACAAGATCATCTTCATGTCTCATTTAGGTCCTCCTGCTCCTCCCTCTGATCTTGAGTGCTTTAAGCCATGTGATGAGAAAAGCTGCAGTGCAGATATCCACTGTATTTGGGGTCCAGAACCGGACCCTCAGAGAAACACCAGCTACAGCCTGCACTGGGAGCCAACAAACAGCGAGTAATTCCACCCATAACATTGCTTAACCATTTGACATCATAATAGGTTTGATGACAGTAATCTGAATTACAGTATTGTGTAATGTTTTTGTATTACTCCATTTGTCATTTTCTGTTGTCCAGGCAGGGGTATGTGACCAGCCTGAACAACTCAGCAGTTATCTATCGTGAACACTTCCTCAACCACGGACAACTTCGAGTTTGGGTCGAGGCTCAGAACAAGCATGGTTCTGCCAAATCTGAGGGCAAAGAGTTCAACACAGCAGATATCAGTGAGTCTGTTTTTTCTTCTATTACTTTTAGGATCCTTCTTATTCATGAATACAGACAACACAACCAAAGTTAATGTCTCTCTAA